AAGCCAGAAGTGGCGCTGTGGCTCAAGTGGTAGAGCGCCAGCCTTGAGCTGAAGAGCTGAGGGACAGCGCCCAGGCCCAGAGTTCAAGCCCCAAGACTGGACCCACCCCTCCCCCCTCCAAAAAAAAAAAGTGTGTAGGCGGGGAGCAATGCAAGAGTAGATGAGTTGAGGAGATGGAAAGGGAGGCATAGTGAAACCTGTTTCCGATTTGTTACATTTGAGCTGCTTTCAGATTTGGGTAGTTAGGTAAAAATTGAGGCCCATCAGAGTAAAAAAGGTAACTGAAGTAAGTGGGTGGGATCGTGTGAGCAGGTATAGTATGGAGTTCCTTTGCAGCACATGGAAGAGAGGTAGTTAGTGCAGAGAGCATGCCGAGTAGAGCAAGCAGACCACCTTTAGCTTGTTTCTGAGTGATTCTGGAAGCCACTGGCGTGTTTCAAACAGGAGAACCCAGCTTGGTGCTCTTTTTGGGAGATTAGTAATAAGTAATCTGTGCTTTGTGGTGAGGCCAGAAAGAGGTAAGGGAGACTAAGGCGAGGGCTGAGAATGGTCTTGACTAGAAAAATGGCAGTGGGAATGAATGTTTTAAACAGGTTAATGGGGTATGGCAGGCCGTATATTCTGTGTCAGTGGGAGATCTTAGATTGTCATAGTTGCCATAGTGTTACTTGCTAAAATCTATCTCCACAGAGTCAGGTAGCTCAGAGATGAAGAAACCAACATTTATGGATGAGGAAGTCCAAAGTATCCTCATCAAGATGACAGGCTTAGACCTGGAGAAGATTTTTAAGCCAGCCATACAAGAGCTGAAGCCGCCAACCTATAAGCTGATGACCCAGGCACAGCTGGAAGAGGTATGTGAACACAGATGTTGGCAGAATGCCTTTCTTTAAGGAGTAAAGATTTCCAGAGGCATCCAGTCATGGGGCCTGACCCTCAGCTCTTCAGCTTAAGGCTAGCACTCTGCCAACTTGAGCCACAGCCCCACTTCTGGCTTTTTCTGCTTATGTGGTGCTGAGGAATTGAACCCAGGGTCTCATGCATGCAAGGCAAGCACTCTACCACTGAGCCACCTTCCCAGCCCAGCTTCCACAGATTCTTAACACAGCTGCCCTTCCTCAGGCACTGGGGTCCAGGCACAGAACAAGAAATGTGAGTAGAAGGCTGATAGAAGGCAGGAGCATAACTAGTTGAGCAGACTCAAGGGCTCAGGTCAAGTGTGGGGGTCCAAACAGTCTCCCCACCGCCCCATCCCAGCCTGTGCGTCCTTTCCCCTGTCCACTCTAAGTTCCCTCAGGAGAAATATCTATGAGCTTTGGTGATGCTGTGAGATCACACTGAGCAGCATCTGGTCAGACTCCACTCTTCGAGCTATGGCAATTGAGTCCTTTGTGCACTACACTTTGACATGTGAACACGTCAACTAGTAGTCACAGCAGAAAGTTAAAACATCCAATAGCTGATCATATGAAGAGTCCCCCTTTCCTCCTCTCGGACAGGACTGCTTTAGTAATATGACATGAAGCAAAGCCCGTGGCTGCGGCTTCCTACAGGTTACCTAGTGTCTCCTTTCCCAGCAAGTGGAGGTGGATATGGGCAGCCCACGATCCTGGTGCAGTTACGCTGCATTGCTCTGCTGTTCACATGGTTAAGTCTACAGCCAGCACTTGGGGCCAGTGCCCACCAGCTCAGGTGTAGCTTTGCACTCACCCATCTCTAGCTACAAATTCTTTTTTTTTTTTTTTACATTTTTTTTATTGTGATTAAGTGGTTACATAATTTCCTAAATTTCACAGTATTGTGGGATAGTGATGCTCAGTTAAAGTCACAAACACATTCTAACTTTCCTGGAGCAAATTGTCTATCACAGTCTATAACATTTATGAATTTTATGAGCTTTGTCATAGTTATCTCTTCCACATTGGGTGATGTGTACATTTCTTTTGTTTTGCATAGCGTCAGCTGTTCCCTCTTTCCCACTTGTTCCCTCCCTCCCATCGCTGCCATTGAGATGCCTAGTGCATTCTGGTCAATGTCCAGTGCAGCTGATGGGTCCCGCTGTTGTATGTTTTTCCTGATTCCCTCTAGTTCTGTGTCGTCCTCCTGGTTCCCATCTGGTGCACACATATATACCATACATGTGATCAGCAGCATGGGGTTATTAAGTAGTGATTCGACCAGATGAGTGGAAGTCCTTTCTTTCTTAAGTCCTGTTAATTTTGTCATATCACCTAACATTTTGGATTTAACATCCACTTATCAGGGAGATCATGTATCTGGCTACAAATTCTTTTGCTGTCATTTTGCTGACATTCCTTAAACATTTCTTTTCTGTAGGCGACCAGGAAGGCGACTGAGGTAGCCAGAGTACAGTTAAAAATGCCACCAGTTCTGGAAGAACGAACACCAATAAATGACGTACTAGCAGAGGACAAGATTTTGGAAGGAACAGAAACAAACAGATATGTGTTTACCGATATATCCTACAGCATACCACACCGGGTGAGTGTGTGCCTAATGGCACAGAGATCTTCCTCTGAAATACCCTTGGCCCTGGGGCTGGGGGATGCTGTGACCTGCCAGTCTCTAAAGTTTCAAAACCAGAGTTCTTGGGACTGGGTGAGAATCTTCTGGAAGATAAATATAAGGACATGATGTGCAGACTATTGCACGTCATTGTTACTGTTTCCCTTCAAATTTTAGTGTGATATGCCAAGTTAGAACAAAGCATTTACAGCCAGACAGAACCCATCCACAAGCCTCACATAGACAAGAACAGCAAGGCACTATTGGAAGGAAATTATTTTTGCCTAAGTTATACTGATCTCCTCTGCTGAGACTTTTGAGTGTAGTGATTTTGGGTGTGGGGGAGTGGGTAGTTACTGGTGCTTGAACTCAGGCCTTGGGTGCTATCCACTGGCTTTTCCATTCAAGGCTGACACTTCCATTTGAGCCACAGCTGCACTTGTGCTTTTTGGTGGTGAATTAGACCTAAGAGTCTCACAGACTTTCTTTTCTTGGCTGGCTTTGAACCTTGATCCTCAGATCTCAGCCTCCTGAGTAGGATTACAGGTGTGTCATTGCCACACCCAGCTTCCTGTGTATTTCTTGATGCTAAGATCGAAGGCTTCCAGTGGATTTTTAGTTCGCAATAAGAATGACAGTTGTTTTTCAGATCGTTTTCAGACCACAATTTGTTTGTTTGTTGGTTGGTCATGGGGCCTGAACTCTGGGCCTGGGTTCTGTCCCTCAGCTCTTCAGCTCAAGGCTAGCGCTCTACCACATGAGCCACGGCGCCACTTCCAGCTTTTTCTGTTTATGTGGTGTTGAGGAATGGAGCCCAGGGTCTCATGCATGCAAGGCAAGCATTCTACCACTGGGTCACCTTTTCCAGATCCCAGACCACTGCTTTTTATTCTTTACTCATCTTCCTTTGATTGCCAGTTCGAAAGAATGTATGCTGGTCCTGGTCCTTGAACTCAATCCCTTTGTAAGCTACAGCTCCACTTTTATTGAGTAGTTTGTTGGACTTTCCTGCCAAAGTTGGCTATGAACACTGGTCCTTGGATGTCAGTCTACTGAGTAGCTAAGATTAAAGGCATGAGCCACTGGTGCCTGACTAACCAGAACTTCCAATGTGCATGTTTTGTATTTGAGCCTTGAGCATAAAGAATAAAAAGGGTAATTTACAGTTTACTCAAAATGCACTAGGCGATGAAAGGCTGCTTTTTGGAGAGCAAGCTCCTGAGTCACTGTGATTACAGGATCCTTGTTGGGGACACATGTTTAGCTTTGATCTATACTCTGTGCAGCATTGATGAAATTTGTAATTTATCCTCCCAACACATCCAGAGACTCACACTTCTGTGAAGGTAGGGTCTGCCATCTGCTTCACGTATGCATTAGCAGGTATGAACTGGTTATTCGCAGTTTGCAAAGCTCTGCATGTATCTTTTAAGAGAGTTCTGGTTATTGCCAGGAATTATTCACTCTTCCTGTCCCTTTCTGGTCACATGGCAGTATTGGAGAGGTGTCCAGAATCTTGTACATCATAAATGGCCAGGCGCATGGCACAGATAGTGGTGCGTGTTGGTGTCACAGGAAGAAGCAAGCTTGTGGCAGGGCTTGGCTGGAGGAGTGGAGAGACCACCCCGGCGGACCAGCTGGCATCTCTGATGTACTGTTTAATGTGGTGTCACAGAAGTGCAGAAGTAAGACTGTGGTAGTGAATTTGTTCATTTTATCCCAAGCCAGTATAGACTATAAAGTGGTAAAAATCTGTCCCGGTGAGACACTGGGATAGAAAAAGGGAATAATATGAAAGTCTTAGTTGGGTAGGGGTGGCTCATGGCTGTAATCCTAGCTATTCAGGAGCCTGAGATCTGAGGATCGAAGTTTGAAGCCAGCCAAGGTTGGAAAATTCTTGAGGCTCTTCTCTCCAGTTAATCAGCAAAAAGCCAGAAGGTGAGCTAAGGCTCAAGTGATAGAGCAGGATGCCTGAGTTCAAGCCCCAGGACTGGCACACACATTAAAAAAAATGGATTTGGGGGGCTGGGAAGGTGCTTGCCTTGTATGCATGAGGCCCTGGGTTTGATTCCTCAGCACCACATAAGCAGAAAGAAAAAAGCTGGAAGTGGTGCTGTGGCTCAAGTGGTGGAGCATTAGCCTTGAGCTGCAGAGTTGAGGGACAGAGCCCAGGCCCAGAGTTCAGGCCAAGAAAATGGATTTGAGTGGATCTCAGGTTTAAAACATTTTTTAATTAACATTGTACAAAGAAGTTTCATTGTTATATTTCCATACATGCATTAATGTACTTTGACCAAATTTATCCTCTCCTTTTTAAAAGTCTCCTCCTTTTTATAGTTTTTAATGGGTTTTATTATTCTGGCTTCATACTTGCGTATGAAGGACTTTGATTATATTTATTTCCCTACCCCTCAGACTTCCCTTGTACCTTCTTAGGTCAGGTTGTTGTTTTGTGTGTTTGTCTTGCCAGTCCTAGGGTTTGAATTCTGGGCCTGGGCACTGTCTCTGAGCTTCTTTTTGCTCAATGCTAGTGCTCTACCACTTGAGCCACAACGCCACTTCCGGCTTTTTTGAGTAGTTTGAGGTAAGAGTCTCACGGACTTTCCTGCCTGGGTTGGCTTTAAATTGAACTGTGATCCTGAGATCTCAGCCTCCTGAGTAGCTAGGATTATAGGCGTGAGCCACCAGCATCCAGCTCCAGTCAATTTTAGTTGCATCATTTCACGCACTGCTCTCACGTTAGAACGAAACATTCTTGGTTCTCATTTTGGATAGACGGGTGTGCGTCCTGACCAGCAAAAGTGGCATCACACCTCGCCGTGCCTTCAGGATGTACAATTGCTGAGTCCCTGATTGTACCTTGCATTTTTGTTCTAGTTGCATTTTATATTTGTGACTGCAAACCAGTCTTAGTGACTTCGTGGGACACAGGAGCTAAACTAAATCCTCACACTCATCACCAATCATGCTTTCCACTTCAGGAACGCTTTATTGTTGTCAGAGAACCAAGTGGCACACTGCGCAAAGCCTCTTGGGAAGAAAGGGACCGGATGATACAAATTTATTTCCCAAAACAAGGCCGTAGAGTTCTGCCACCAGTAATTTTCAAGGAAGAGAACATTAAGGTATGTGAGCTGTTTATTCTAGGCTCAGTGGGGATGATCTGTGGATGCTGGTGCTTGGCAGTTTGCCTTGATGAGTGTGAATTCTAATGGTAGCATGAACAGCTGCCACCTCTCACAATTGGCTCATGTGTGATTTGAATCCAGATGTGGCCAATGCAGAGCCTGTGTTGTTTCTTTATGCCTCTGGGTGGGCCGAGCGGGGTGTAAAACTGTGGAATTCCTTCTGATCCCAGTCTGTGATTTCAGACCATGTACAACCAGGACCGGCACGCTGATGTCCTCAATCTCTGTGTTGCCCAATTTGAACCAGATTCCAAAGAGTATATCCAAGTGAGTGCATTTTAGACCTTCTACAACATGGCTTCAGTACTGTTAGAGTTCTTGAAATGGGGAAGTGTCTGAAAAACTGAGTACAGATGCGTGCCGGGTGTGTATTTTATCAGTCAACTCTTCAGGATGAATTGAGGCTTGGAGAACTGAGTGCGCTGGCAGCTGCACTGCAAGTAGGTGGTAGGTTTGGGCCACATGGTGACAATGCACCCCACAGGAGCAAGGCTGTTTACACTGTCCACGTTGCATGTGTGTCTTACGACGGTGCTTGTGTTCATGGTGCCTTGTGTGTGTAAGGTGGTAGCATAGGTAGTATAGGTGATGCCCTGTGCTGTGTCAGAATCTGCCGTTGCATGACTGTTTGGGTCCAGGTGCTGGTTAGGTGATGAGTCACCAAATGCTCTCAGGGTGGTATTGAAGACTGTTCATGGGAGGACGGGAACCCTGGCAGGGAGTGCAGAGGTATTTCAGGTGCAAGTGGATGAGCAGCAGGTGGCAATCCGAGTTTTCCTGTCAGTGAGTCAGGGAATAGGAAGATAGATGGGGCCGTCACGGGCGACCTTGGCAGGCGTAGGGCACTTGGGTCAGGCTTTCTGGAGTTCATGCTTCCTACCATGATTTTTGCTGCTTTTGGGATAGCATTGTGCAGGTGACCTGCCTCAGTGCGGTGTCCCGCTGTATAGCTAGGATAAATAAAGTATAGCTTTCCCCTTGAGGAGGGTCTTGCAAACTTTTCTGACCAAGCTGGTCTCAAACTGCAATCCCCTATGGATAGCTAGGACTATAGGACTTGTGCCTGGTCTTTTGAATCCTTTTAAACAGGCATTCCCTACCTGAGTCCTTGTTTAGGAAGAACAATCTGGAAGGAGATCTGAAGGGACATTACTTAGTAAGATAACATGAGATAAGGGTAGATTCTTTTACTTTTAGGCTGTACTGGGGTTTGAACTCAGGATCTGCTTGCTTTGCTGGTTCTCTACCACTTGAGTCTTACCTCCTGTCCAGCTTTTTGCCAGTTATTTTTTTTTTTTTTTGGTCATGGGGCTTAAACTGTCTCTGAAGTGCATTTTACCTGACAGATTCATCACCAGACCTATGAAGACATAGACAGACACGGCAAGTATGACCTGTTACGCTCAACAAGGCACTTCGGTGGAATGGCCTGGTACTTTGTCAATAAGAAAATGATTGACGGTTTGCTGATTGACCAGATCCAGAGAGATTTGTAAGTATGGGCTGAGTAAGTAAAACAGCACATCTGACACCTGACGTTCAGCCACGGCGTCTTTCCCGCAGATGGAGGTTTTCATTGTGTATGGCATTACTCAGCCTTTCCTCGCCGGCCTGCTTTTTGTTTGCCCCAAAGGGGTAAGTTCTCTGAAAGAACAGTGGCTTTGTTCTGGACAGTGTACTCTGTGCTGACTGTCCCTGGGTTTACCAGTGCTCCTGGGTACCCATGAACTTTCAAGATTCTTAAAGAGAGGAAATATAAAGATGATGTGAGCTCTAGCAGGTGGTGTTTTCTAGTAGCAATAGTTACAGGATTTTCCAGTAAAAATTGTCATTTAACTTACAAAAATTATTTTTGCTTCGAATTACCCTGGCTTTTGCAAAATTCCTACGTCATCAGACAAGTGAGTCTGGTTAACTTAAGGGTACACAGGCAGGCAAGGCATTTGGGACCAGAAGGTGCATTGGGTCGTCTAGGGTGGAGCCCACATCTCATAGAGCACTGTTTGTGGTGACTGCCAGGCCAGCGCTTCTCTGGTAGTGTGATTTCAGAAGGCCAGGGTGGGGGTGGAGGTATGTGTTCCTTCATGCCCCCCAGGGTGATGGGGGCTGCCTTTATGAATTGACTACTTAGCAAGCCTACTATTCATATGCTCTCGTAAGCATTAGAGCAACCCAGAAATACTTCAGTTTGAAAATTAACGTTCTCTACTGCCAGGTGGTGACATCTGTAAACTTTAATCTGCGGGGAGGGAGCTTTGAGTACAAAACCCCATTAGGTTGTTTTCAGCAGTGAGCAGAGTGCAGTTCCCAGGCTGGACAGCAGAGGGCGCTACAGCCCAAAGTCCCGGACAGCAGTGCGTTTCCACACAAACCATTTCAGACTCAGTCAAGATAGGCTGCTGATGTGTCTGACCTGCTCAACTTCCGGTTTGCCTCACTAGGAAGACTGCAGTAGGGTGTCCTGTGGGTGTTCTACTGGTCTAGGGTCTTTTCTTGGGATTCTAGGGGTCCTTACAGAGGTACTTCACTAATCTACTCTCAGGGAAACTGGTGAGCAGTGTGCCACTAACAGCAGGTGACTTGGAGGACCCTCTGTCTCTTCCTCTGGTTGGATTGTAATCTTCAGTGTTGGTGAAGCGGGCTGGCTTGGACATCATCTAACCTGCTTCTTTGGAAAAGGATGTTCCAGTTCCAAAAAGAACACAGCAATGTTTAGAATATGCTCCCCTCATAAATTAGCCCCCTGCCTACCTCATGGCAAGGGAGATTAGTCAGTTTTTTTTTTTTTTCCCTGAACGAGCTCCCCCTGCCATGAGGGAAATCTGAAATACAGCTTAGCTTGAAGTTGGCGCACACTTTCAGGGGACTGAAGCAAATGAGGCCTCCCTCCTCCCATAACGTTAACCTGTTCACTTTCAGAGTTGATGATGCCACCGGCCTGGTTCAGCTCTATCACATGCTCCATCCAGATGGCCAGTCAGCCCGGGAGGCCAAAGAGCAGGCTGCTGAGGGAGTAAACTTAATTAAGGTAAAGTGTCTTTTCACGGTGCCCTGTCTTGTGATTTGGGAAAAATTCAGAAGTGGGCCATATTTACTAGTAACAAAGTAGGTTTGTGAACATGGGACATCTGTATGGCTACAGCGCCTAGTTTTCTAGTTCCTGGACAATCAAAACAGGGAGGTGCATCTGAGGCAGCCAGGTTACCAGCAGGGCCGGGTGGAGGCTTAGAAGATGGCCAGGAACGGCTTCCTGCCCTTCACCCTGGGCACCTTTCACCAGGGGAGGGGTCTGGCTTGGGTTTACATTGTCTACTGGAGGCCAGATGGTATTTTCAGGAAGGGGAGATTCCTGAGTAATCTTTCTAGGGCTCAGCTTAGACATGGTTTTGTGGAATGGGCTTTCCAATAGTGTTTTGCATTTTGTAACACAGCTCTCCTTACTAAGGTCAGAATGATGTCACTGGCAGCCAGGTAGAATAGGTGATGGTCACATGGGTTATGGAGAAGATTGGAGTCTACTAGTTCTCATCCTCTCAGGCAGTGAGGCTTAGAATTAGCATTATGTGACTGTGTTGCTCTATTTTAAGAGGGACAATTACTGTGAAATATGGAAGAACCTAAGTGAGCTCTTTTTTCCTATTAGAGAAATGCTAATCATGACTTGACACTGCTGTATCAATAGTGGATATTGTACTGCTTTAACACGGTTTTAAACACCATTTTAAACAGGTGTTTGCAAAAACAGAAGCACAGAAGGGAGCCTATCTAGAGTTAACACTACAAACTTACCAAGAAGCCTTCGTAAGCCAATCAGCAGCTTCCTGAAGATATGTAAGAAGATACATTTCACTAAATATGTCCTCTTTTTAAAATGTTCTTTTGTAGTTTTCTATAATTTTCTTTCTAAAAGTATAAACTGTTGCTCTACATAATAAAAGACAGCACAGAAAGTGTATACAAGAGAAGCAGCTTGCTAAGACTAGACAGTCGCTGACTGCAGAAATGTTCCAGAAAATACTGGACACGAGTCAGGGGATACTAAGCTCCCTGGCCAGCCAAGCTGCACAGACCACAGCAGATTTCCCTTGTTCAGAAAGGAGGAAACAAGTTTTTCATTGATTCAAAAGGTGTTTATGGGATATGGTCTAACAAAGAAACATAGTAATTTAAATGCTGCACATAAATTCCTCAAGAGGAGGAGGCTGAGCTGACCCTTTGGGCTGACTGCGCTTACATACAAAAATTGAGGGAGTTTCTCAGAGTTCTGAGCACTGAGGTGAGGGTGAGGATCAATGCCTTTATATAATAATAAAAGGAGTAAGATTACATCAGTCGTCCAGAATGTCTTCATCCAGATTGATGTCTATTGTGTCAATATCTTCTAATTCCAGATTATCCAAATCTACTTCTAGTTCAAGTAAGCTCTGCAAATGAAAAAGGAACTTACATAGCACTGGGTTAACAGAACTAAATTTCCTTCACAGCATCCCACCACAAAGCCCTGCTCAGAAACTGACTGTGTAAGCTGCAGAAGCTTTTTGCTGCTATGGGGGAAGGGGGGGGTCTGACCCACCTTTTCATCCTTGGTGGCCGTCTGGGAGGTGCAGATAACTGGAGTGGGGGAAGGAGACTTTCCCTCCAGTTCCTGAAAGTCCAAGCAAAGGTACTTATGAAGACAAAGGAGGTTTCCAGAAATGAAAGCTGTTCCCTGGGGAAAGGAGGCAGTGTCCACTAACCTGCTGTGCTGTGGGTCTGGAGGGCTGGAATCCTTTTGCCTCTTCCATAACGTTTCTTTCTTCATTTGGCTGTGAGGAAACGAGCAGTGATGCCGTGCTGGTTCTCACGTCATGCCTGACGGAGAAGCGCCGCCCAGACCCCGCTGCTGTGCTGCTACTCACCGTGACAAGTGGGTACTGTTTGGCAGGCCACAAGTCAGCATGCGTTTCTTTCACCCACTCTTCAACCACAAAGGCTTCTTTTAGTCCAGGGAAAAGGTTTTCGTATTCTGTTGGGTCAGCAAGAGATTCTGCTGCTTTCTGGTTGACTTTGGAAAGATTCTCTCTCCAGAGTTTCACCACCCTGTGAACCAAGCAGGCACCAAGTAAGTGTGCACTGGCTGTGCTAGATAGAAACACTGGAATATAATGCAAGTCTTACCTTGAAACCTGGCTGGGTAAGTAGGTCCGGGCCAGGAAGGCAGCCTCTGGCAGTCTTCCGGTTCGAATCAGGAGTTCTAGGCATGCATCAAGCCTAAGGTAAAAAAGGCAGCACTATGGCATCCTTCTTCTCCCTCTCTGCACCCTCCCTCTCCTTTTCTCCCTCCCCCCCTCTCTCTTTCTGCCTCTTCCCCTTTTTCCTCCCTTTCCTCCCTCTCCTCTCCCCCTCCCTCTTTCTCTCCTTTCCTCTCTCCTCTTCCCTTTCTTCTTCCCTCCCTCTCTTCCCCTCCTCCTCCCTCCCTTCTCTCTACCATGGCCACTGAGAGTTTCACTGGGTGGCAGGCAGGTCCACCAATGTAACTAGCTGCCAGTTTAAGAGGTGCAACTTCTGCACGTTATGGCTGGACCTTCACTCTCCTTAGTGCTTGCCATGAACAGGCCAAGGCCGTCCAGTCTGGATAAGTCACCTGCTGCACAATGCAGTGCTGCAGCCGTCACTGGGAGGCTGCTGAGAAATGGGCTCCAAAGCCTTCCCACCCTGTGCTGTTTAGTCCCAGTTAGATGTGATGCTGGAGAGCACAGATTGAAGGTCACTGCAAGCAAGGCAACACAGCCTTCTGCCACCCACCATTCCCCCACCCTCGCATCAAGACCATGGCTTATACTTACTTGCCCTGTAAAAAGTAGCTCATGAACGCCACGTTGTTCTTGCCATCCCTCTCTGCACCCTCTGCGAGCTTGTTGACCATGCTTGCATTTCCGGAGGCAGTGGCCAAGAGCAGCAGGCCCCCGTAGTCCTGGGCGTGGTGCAGGCACTCCTGGGCTAGGCCAAACTGGCATTTACTGATGGCGAGTTCAGCGAGCTGTTTCCACTTCTGCTCTGACTGCAAGAAAGAGCTGCATGTTAAAATGTCTGACGTCCTCACATTACTCAGTTAAGTCTTGAACATGCTGGCAGTGGTGAGGACATGAATGAGTAAATACAGGTATATCATATATCTAATAGAGATGGATGTCGACAGAAGAAGCTTGTTAGTTCTATCAAAACAAGGCATAAATTAAGATGAGGAAATACAAATGATAGTTACCTTGCAATCCCTGCACGAGCAAATACCATGTTTTTAAAAGAAAAAAACTGTCCTTATTTACTATTATGTACAGCTTCTCAGAAATAGAGTTCCACAAGTTTTTGGTTTTAACACAGCATACCTAGGATTTATGCAGCACAGTCTAAAATTAACTTACCAGTAACTGCCAGACTTCAGTACACAACGTTGCTGAGCTGTCTTGTCAAGGTCAGAGCCCTTTTGTAAAAGCAGCCCCCGGCCTGCCATTTCAGGACACTGGCACCCTGCTATTCTTCCTGTTCTTTGTCAGAGTTCCTAGATTACCTTAAATCTTTTTTCTCCCTCTTATAAAACAATCTTAATCCCAGAAAACACTTCAAATTACAATGCCAAGGCTACCTTGAACACAGTCTAATTCATTTGTGGAAAAATTAATGCATCTTTAGAGGCAAAATGACTCACCAAGTAAGTCACAAATCTTTTTCAACCAAACATGTACTTATTTCCCATCAGTTAAAAAAATTTATGAAGCAGTACATACCTCTGCTTCCACTGCTAACTGGTACGCAATTTTTAACTCTCCAAGTTGGAGAGCAAGCTCAAAACGATGCTCAGGATCCGTGGACACAGTCAGAGCCTGCTGCTTAAAGCCCTGAAGAATTCAAAGAATACAGTGTACGCTCATCCCTCTGCAGACAAACCTCACAACTTAAAAGAAGCAAATAAAATACTAATCAAGCCTGGTGCAGTGGCTCACGCCTGTCATCCTAGCTACTCAGGAGGCTGAGATCTGAGATTGCGGTTCAAAGCCAAACCAGTCAGAAGAGTCTGACTTATCTCCATCCACGTAATCACTAGGGTAAACCTGAAGTGGTGTTGTGGTTCAAGTGGTAGCAAGCTGAAGAGCTCAGGGACAGCACCCAGGCCCAGAGTTTAAGCCCCACGACCCACAAAAAATAAAGATAAAATACTGATTAGACAAATTAAGGAGTTAACTGATAAACCTGGAAGATAAAATATTCAATTACACGATGCCCATTTTGCTCTGTGGGCCTAGCCATCGTGGTGGTCGTGTCTCCTCTTCCCTGCCGGCGGAGACAGGTGCACTCCATCACAGAGCCCTTGATAGAGTCTCAAACATTTATGCCCATGCCAGCCTGAAACCATATCCCTGTCTCCTGCCTGCAGTGAAAACAGTAAGCTGTAGCTTTCTCAGCAACGAGGTCTACTGTTTTTCTTTTTTTTTAAAGACAATTTAAGATGGCCAGTGCTTAAGGAATAATGTTTTCAAAGTGTATATTAACAATTCTTTTTTTTTTTTGGGGGGGGGGATCCGGTCGTGGGGCCTGAACTCTGGGCCTGGGCGCTGTCCCTCAGCTCTTCAGCTCAAGGCTAGCGCTCTACCACTTGAGCCACAGCGCCAGTTCCGGCTTTTTTTTTTCTGCCTATGTGGTGCTGAGGAATCGAACCCAGGGCCTCATGCATGCAAGGCAAGCGCTCTACCACTGAGCCACCTTCCCAGCCCCTATCTTTTCCATTTGAGAGTTCACTGAAATCACTCCAGCTAAACAGAGTCTTAGAATCAGATCAGTTTCATGATTCCTTACTGAAATGTTGGTCACAGTGAAATCTAAAGATCTAAAATTAAAGCACAAATTTCTTTTAAAACTATTTACCTTTACACTCTGGTCTTCGAGTCAAGATTTTTAATTTTCACCTTTCACCAAAACTCCTTACATAACCTCCACAAACCTATTTATAATGAAATGTTGTCCATTCTAGAACAACCTACCTCAAAGGCGTCTTCAATGCCATCTTCTGTCACTCCCTCGTGGGTTTCCTGTGCAGCCAGGACTTTCTCGGACAGGTACTTCAGGATAAAGAATGATTCCTCGGTGGCAATGCAGACTAGCTCTCCAGAATCAGACCAGAAAATCTGTCACATCACAACCAAAAAATAGACAAGTGATTTGGCTGAGTGGGTGTGACAAACTATAAGCATTTAGTTTCTTACGGAACCTTTAGTGTGCCCTTCACAATGCTATGTAGAGTACTGGCACACACGTATCTGAGACAGCAGCGGGCAGGCCTGTTCCTTTCAAGCTCGGCAGTGGGAAGACCCAAGAGGAGACCAGGAACTGCCGTGCTCTGGACTGGCCTGTTTCCTCTCGCTCTAGATGGTGCTGCTTACCCTTAATTTTCATTACTTCCAACCCTTAACAGTCTTTAGAGATTTCCCTCCTAGTCACCGCCTGTAATGAAATTTTAAAGCTACAGATGAACTGAGAATGTCACCTAGACTTTAAGCAGCCATTATGGGTCAAAAGTGCTTTCTGAGCTGCTGGGAGCTTCTCAGGCCTTTCAGGGACTCCTTGGCTTTGTCTTTGAAGCACACATTTTTTTTACTCCACCAGAAGCCATTTAGAATAGGGATGGAATTTGTGTAACTTTTTACGCTTTTCAGAATATCCAGTGTTCACTGCCTCATTCAAATGCCACCATCCTGAGGTGCCTGGCATCATGCTGAACACCAGGGGTTAGGGAAAGCAAGCAAAGATGCACACACTACAAGCAGCAAGGGGAGGGAAACTCACGTGTTTGGGCTGAATTTCAATTCTGCGTATGAGCTCTGTATTGTCCCAGTCATAGAAGGCTAGGCCATTGACAGACCTCACCCCCAACAGGAAGCCTCCATAGATACCTCCAAGGACAGAAGAAGACTGAGTTAGATGCTCTGGAGCCACTGCCACACTTCTACAAACGCGTCAGAAATCAAGTACTCACTTTCAGCTCCAAAGTCTGGTTTAAACGATTTTTTTTCCTTGAAGTTCTTGAATATCTTTACAACACTGTTGCTCTCTCTTATTGCATATCTGAAGGGGGAAAAGACAAACAGCATGTTATATACTAGACCCTAACTCCATGAAACATGGGAAATGCCTTTGAATACTTTTCAGTAATGATGAAAAAATATGAAAGGACTCTCAATAGTCACTTCATTTCAATCATAAGTGGCTTGCAAACCATCTTAAAGTTAGAGAAGGCTCCAACACCAACCAATGGGTGAGCAGCTAGACTGGTGCACTCTTCACACAGGAGCCCATCATGGAGGCTGAGTGGAGAGGGCCAGCACACACAGGATGCCACTAATGTGCAACTCCAAGACCATGGTTTAGATCGTAAGAAAAGCAGATTGATGAGGCCTGGGGTGGGTCTGGAAATGGGCTGATGGTTAAGGTATGCAGGGGACAACAGAAGTGCTCTATGAATTTGTATTCTGTAATTTGTGTATGATAAATTACATACATCTGTCCAAATCCGGGAAATGTGTGTATGCCTGACGGGAAGCCTGCCACAGCGCCCCATTTGCTGTCTTCAGGACTGCCTGGATATCTGTGACCGTGTGAGGTGTGCACTCTATGCAGAGTGCTCTGCTTGGGACAGATGCCAAGCACTGAGACAAAGCTGAAAGGTGGGACCAGCACAGGGCTGAGAAGTGAGGAGCCCGAGCCACGCCGTGCTGAAGTGACCACAAGGCTCCCTACAGTATGGAGAACTGCGTGTCCACCAGTGCGTTGATGGGGATATGAAATGATCGCAGCAGCTCTCTCCATCAGTACAGGTTGTGTTAAGCATCTTAAATGCATCTCTTACATGGTGCTCTGGCTAACTCGCCTTACAGCTGGGAGCAGGAAGCAGCAGAACATCTGCCCACACCGTGAAGACACAAGAGATGCCAAAGCCCCAACTGTGTTACACGGACTGACAGGCTTCACAAGGGAACAGTGACTGGCACGTTAGTCATGTGCTCCCCATCCATGAGAACGGTTTATAGCATCCCAAATTCAGACAGAAATGTGTGAAGAGGAAGAGGTGGTGACATCACAGAGGGTGGTTTTTTTGAAAGACACACTGATGCCATCCATACAGCACCTCTCCCACCTAGCTGGGGAAGGGCAGCACCACGGACACCTAGAACTTGTCATGTCAGGCCTATTTGACTTGAGCCCGTCAGCACCCAGTCCTGCCATAGGCTTCATCATAGAAATGGTGCTGAGCCCCAATTTTAGTGTGTTACTAGATCAGCCTGACAGCTCATACTAAATGGAGAAAGGATAAAAAGCTCTGATTACACCAGCTGCCTTCTACTGAGCAGCTACAGAACCATAAACATCCTCTACACAGCGGCTCCCAACAGCCATCTACAGTTGGGGCAAATGGGACATCATGCAGTGTGAACTTACTCTGAGGAGTCGTGAGCCCAGGCAAACTCCTGGGCAGAGCCAAAGCTCTTGTTTCTCAAGGCCATTGCTGTGTAGATGATGTATTCCCCATCACCGCAGACCACAACAAACCTACAAGTTACACAAGGCAGGGAGGAAGATGACAGAGGAGTTAGGAAGCAGTAATTCTCATTTAGGGTAAACAGTTTGGATTACATGCTATTTTGGCCAATTATTAACAACTTAGAATCGACTGAAGTTTTGTTACATGGAGTTGCTGTGGAGAGAGTCACTGCAGTGGCCTTGACTTGGGAGCAAGGGGACTGGGGAGAGGAGGAGGAGCGCAGTGGACACAGGTGGAGGACTTAACCATCAGTGCTCTGGGCTGGGCACCAAGATGCCCTGCACACTGCCTGGGAGACCTCACCACAAGAGGGCACTAACGACTTTATTAGAAATATCTTCAGGGGAAAAAGGGATGATGCTGACCAAGAAGCACTCATACCTTGGAACTGTAACCACTCTGTGATGTCATCGCAGTAAATAAAAGTATCTCAGTTTTTTAAGACTGTTCAATTTATCAAAATTAGCAGGACGGTTTAACAATGGGAAAAGTAGACTGCAGTATGGCATTTCCCAGTAGACATAAACAACTCTCCTCAGACTTTTCACAAGACTGTAATGTCTGAAACCAGATGGCTGCCAACAGTTTTAAGATACATGAAGGAAAACCATTTTTTATTACCCATTGCAGAATGTATTCGTTAGTCTACCTTCCCCACCAGTTAGCCAACCTTCTTAAGAGCATGGGGTCAGCAAGTGCTAGTGAGCATCTACTAAGTACCTGAGGTGGTGAAGCACTAAGTAAACATGCACAACCCCACTGAACTGTCCACCTGCATGTTGTCTATGTCAGCTGGCCCTGCCGTCTGCATCTGGTGGGGATGCTGAGGCCTGGGAAAAGGCAGTGGGGATTAGTGGAAGCGCCTGCTCTTAACACCCGCAGGAGCTCACGTGCACCACTGGGGATGGCTTACCGCCCATTGGGATTGTGCTGTATGGTCTGAGGGTATATTTCACAACTGCCCATGTCCTTCACTGCCAGAGGCAACCTTTCTCCATCTTTAATTTCGGCATCTCCCATTGCTTTGAGATTGGCCTGCTGGACCTCTGAATGCTTGGCCCAAATTATCTTCCCATTGGCATCCATGGACATGGCAGGTTCCTCCCGACCGAGCTGCAAGAGTGACAGATGGCTCTTAGCAATGAAAAGGAAAACACCACAAACAAACCTTCAGAGAGGTCTACGCCCTTCTTGCCAGGCAAGTGATGTCTAGTGCGCGATGAAAGAGGACAGCGATGGCTTCGCCTGTCGTCTGCGAGAGACAGCAGCACCAGTACCTTAACGATGATGCTCCCCTCATCGTAGCCCAGAGCCACATTGTTGGACCCTCGCAGACTGGCCACACACCACACCCGCTCCATTCCGTAATTCAGTGTGCTCTCAAGCCGGTAGGTGCTGGAGTGCCAGATGCGCACCGTGCCTAAAAAGATGTGAGCAGCCATCAATCAAGTGTCAAGTGAACTCACGTCAGGTTTCATGGAAGACTCCCCATTCCAGGAGAAAGCACTTCCTTACCATGGTCTAATACTCTATTTATAGGACTTCAAAAGCAACAGAAACACAAGAGTAGAAAACCTGCAAGAAGCCAAAACTAGAAAAGTGACTTTAGATGTAAAGTAGTGACGGGGCTCTCTGGGTAGAGTGCTATGTGTGCCAGCTGCTTTGGATGTGGGCCTAGAAAGCTAGGCAGTGGCCCACAGTGCTGTATCATAGCAAGTGCCCAAACCACACATTCACAAAGGGCAGAGCCTGAAAGCGAACCCAGGGTTGTCTCCCAAGCACATGCTTGCTCCGTTTTTCTTTAGAACCCCTGGGTGTCCCCTTGTGTAAGTGACAGAGACAAAAACACATTAGCATGATGATGATGATGATGATGCAGCCCTTCTATGCTCTGATAGTGTAAGTCTAGAACTTGAATAATCACCGGAATCCCCCCCCCCCCCCCCCGTGGCTCAGGGCCACCACTTGGTTTAAACACAGAGCGCTGCGCTGCAGCTTACCATCTTCGGAACCTGTGATGATGATGGGCAGCTCAGGGTGAAAGCTGGCGCAGGACACGTTCTGGGCATGCCCCTCCAGTGTCTGCACGCATGTTTTGTTCTGTAACATGACATAGAGGAAGAGTTCACTAGTGGAACACATTGTACAATTTCAGTTTTCTTAACCCAGAGACACTATGTAAACAATAGTGATTATGGTGACTTAAATGGATCCAATACAACTTATTAGCTTCTGTATTCATATTTAAGACTTACTGTAAATATAATCATCGTATTTGAAGAAGGATCAAGAGATCTCTGTTTTTCACCTAAACATAACTTCTCTAACTCCTACGGCTTTCTCCTCACTCTTCAACCCTTCCATCTATCAACTAAGATAGAGCTTCTTTAGCTTGCAATACTTTCATTCGAAATTTAAGAACTTGAAAAAGTTTCAAAGCATACCTGTTTTTTTAGGCCTAACTTTATTAACTGTTCATAGGAATTTTTGGTGTGAGATACAAAAAAAAGTATAGGCAAAGGTTAGAGACAGAAGACATGGTAGGGAGAACTCATAACTGCATTTACAAGAGTTCTATGTGAAAAAAAAGGCATGACATGACTCACTATACATGCAAGTTGGTCAATTAGAATACTCAAGCATGTGTAATTTACAATGTAAAATTTTCTAAGTTACTGAATAAAAAATATGCTGGTGTTATTTATTATTTATTTATTTATTTTTGGCCAGTCGTGGGGCTTGAACTCTGGGCCTGGGCGCTGTCCCTGTGCTCTTCAGCTCAAGGCGAGTGCTCTACCACTTGAGCCACAGCGCTACTTCTGGTTTTCTACTGGTTTATTGGAGATAAGAGTCTCATGAACTTTCCTGTCCGAGCTGGCCTTGAACCAAGATCCTCAGATCTCAGCCTCCTGAGTAGCTAGGATTACAGGAATGAGCAACCGATGCCTGGCTTTATTTTTTTGGTTGGTTGTGGGGCTTGAACTTGGCCTGGGTTCTGTCATTTTTATGAGGGGAATTCTGGGACCACGGTTTTGGTTAAATAGAGACGTAAGTTACGTCATGGGAGTTGTAAGATTCAAACATTAATAGAAACAGCAAATGCCACGTGTATCACACAGAAAGGAATGTTATGAAGAAACTGTACCTGATAATCCCATATTTTAACAAGCCGGTCATCTGCACCTGAAATGAGGTATGGCTTGTCACCACCGCTGTAGTAATCAATGCAGTTCACGCCTTTCTCATGTCCCTCCAGAGTGAAGTTTGGTGAGGAGGAGCCGAGCTGCCACACCTGCAGAAGGCAACAGGGTCAAGTCACATCAGCCCTCTGGGATGGGAGACTCCCCCTTCCCCACCACACCCTTCTGATAGACCAGAGGACACGACACGCCAAAGCCCAGCAGAGAGAAGCTAAGGAATGCTCTCTGATTCAGCTATTAGTTGATTTTCTTTCTTGATTCACTCGAACTTTTAGGAGGAAGAATCACTAATGCTTCCCGAAAACGCTGACTTCCAGGCTTTCTTCCTCATTGTGAATTTAGCTGGTGCCTGGGAACTGAGATGCTCAGCACGTTGAGAAACTTTAAAGCGATGTGATGGTTTTGTGGAAGGCTTATTACTATAAACCTAATGAGACTGGGTGTAGTTACATGTACTGGGGGGGGGGGAGGAAACACCACTTAATTGGAGAAATTTTAAATATTAATGAGTTTCACTGTTACAACTGAGTTCCCACAGTTGTTCCACACAGAAAGGCCTGTGGGGAGCTTAGAGATAGGGAATAAAATGTTCACCATGCAAACATTTCTTGAGCCAAAGGTAACTCCTGTGCTCACAATAAACCTAATTTAGTAAAATTTAAAGCTAATTTCAAAGATTCCAACCTGTATCAAAAGCAAGGACAATTCCACAAATAGGGAGAGAAAAGGGAAGATCAGATATGAAACAGTTTGTGCAAGCTAGAGAGAAATTAATAAAAATGTTATATCTACATAAGCAAATGTGTAAGCAAAAGTGAATGTACTTTTAAGTTGATGCATTTAGACTTGTTTTAAATCTTCTCATGGAAACTGGAGTTGACTGTTCTCACCACACTGAGCACCTGGTGGAGGGGAGACGGCTCTGTTTGCTGCTGAGCATCTGCTTGGGAGCGGGAGGAAGCACACAGATCCTGCCCCAGACATCCAGTATTTTGGGGGTACAGGCTTCCCCAAACAGGATAATCATGACACCATGTAAGAAAGGGCATCACAGAAGCAATGGGATGAATGAGGTAAGCAAAACCGAGTCTAGAGGCAGTGGGGCCTGACAGAATAGATTTTTACACTAAGTCCTCAAAGCTGGGTAGCTCTCCAGAGAAAAATAAATCAAACAGGCAGAGTTCTAAGGCTTGCAGGCAGAGGCAAGAGCTGGTGAAGGGAAGGTTCTATGGAAAATAGCAAAAACAGTTGTAGAGATTTCTTATAACATTAGACTAGCCCCGCAATAAGGTCTTATTCCACACTGCAGCTTCTGGACTGTGGAATCGAAGCAGGCAGACAGCTGGGAGAGTAGGGGGAAAGGAAGGCTGGACGCTGACAGAATTTCAATACAAGAGAGAGATTAATGAGAGAGATCAACAGTGTATACACTAGCGGGAGAGGACAGAGAGGACTAAGAATTTTTCTAATTTGGTGTTTCTAGAGGCTAAAAATGTCTTACTGTGGATTGTGCCTCATAGAGAAATGTTCCTTCAGTAAAAGCAGAGCTGCCACAATATTCTTCTCAATAGAACAAGCCTTTCTGATCATGACGAGCTTCTGAAACAAACCTTAAGATGGCCAAGTTTACTTCACAAACACAGAGAACACGCACCTTGATGGTCCTGTCCAGAGATGCGCTGGCAAACTGGTTGTTATCTTTGGGGTTAATCACAATCTGCATTACGTAGTGTGTGTGGCCTTCAAACACTTGTGAGCAGGACCATTTTTTATCCCAGTCCCAGAGCTTAATAAGCATGTCATCTAGGTCAAAAGAAAGTCTCGAGTTAGCTGCAATATAAGACTCAGAGAGAGTCTTTGGGCCAACCTAACTCAAATCTCACACTTCGTGACTTACAGAATAAAATCAAAATTGAAAAACTGCTCTCAATTCCTATCTATCCTAGGTACAAATTTAACTCTGTAGAAAAATGTAGGTAAAATAAATTACTGACACAAATTCCATAAAAATAAAAGAACTAAGTGGGCTTCAAAGAATTATACAAACAATAATACAAGTTTTATTAGAATCTAAGTATAACTGAAAGATGGTAATAACTATTGAGAGAATAAGTATGTGCTCGTTTAAGACTGGTAATAAACTCAATTTTGTGTGTATGTGTGTGCATGTGTGCATGCTGGTATTGGGGCTTGAGCTCAGGGCCTGGGTGCTTTTTTTTTTTTTTGGTGATCGTAGGTGATCATAGGCCTGGGTGCTGTCCCTCATCTCTTCAGCTCAAGGCTAGCGCTCTACCACCTCAGCCACAGTGCCACTTCCAGTTTTCTGCCCAGGCTAGCTTTGAATGGTAATCCTCACATCTCAGCCTCCTGGGTAGCTAGGATTATAGGCATGAGCCACTGGTGCCTGGCAAGGGCCTAGGTGTTGTCCCTTAGCTTTTTCACTCAAAGCTAATGCTCTATCACTTGAGCCATAATTCCACTTCCAGCTTTTTGGTGGTTAATTGGAGATAAGAGTCTCTCAGATTTGTCTGTCTGAGTTGACTTCAAACCACAGTCTCAGTCCCCTGAGTAGTTAGGATTACAGGCGTGAGACACTGGTGCCAGGCTAAAAGTTTTCCATTTTTAATTTGAGAGTGTTTTAAAGAGCTATTATCAGCTCAGCACTACTTGTTTTAATTATACTCCCCAAGGTCTACTGTTTCATACAGGCCACCACGGAGCAAACTCATCTTAAATAGGGTAAGACAGCCACATCTGTGGCCATCAGCCAACTCACTCCTGAGCTTGTTAACAAGCTCTGTGTTCAGCAGAGGCTTCAACATCTAGACCTGCAGATCTTTTCTGACAGGATTCAAGCCACTGCTATACAATCCTAAATGCAGCTGATATTTCATTACAATACAAAAGCGAGCAGAATCAATAGCCCAGTAATGGACGAGAATGGCTTAAAGGCTCTGCCTGGAATTAGAAGTCTACGTACAACAGCAGTTAAAGAATAGCCCGGTGTCACTGAAGGAAAATGGATTCCCCAGTGTGACCAAAAGAGGTCATCTCTTACCACTGCTAGTCAGAATGAACGGCTGGGTGGGATGAACGGCAATACAGCGGATGTAGTCCGAGTGTGCTTCAAACATATGAACTCTCTCCAGGGTGTTGTAATTGAACACTCTGATCTGCATGTCATCCTGGCAGTGGGAATGAAAAAGCCATCACCATTGCTGTAGTGAGCTGAATGAAAGATTAACTCCCATGCTTCAAATCAGTCACTAAAATGAACACATCAGGACACTGCAACTAGCTTACACCACTGCTGACCAACTCAAGATTCGTGATTTTTAATTACGTACCGCTCCGGTGACAACCCAGTTCTTCCTTGCAACGAATTTGGCGGCTCGAACAGGAAGGTCACACACTTCAAACGTTTTCACCAGGGTCTTCAAAATTGAACAAGAATATATACACTGAGTTATGAGAAAATAACTGAAAAATCTGTCTGCTGTACTTAAAACACCTGAGTTAGATCACCTCTAATTCAAAAATGCTCAGCCCAAATGATGAAAATCTAACATGAAAATAAAAGACCAATCACCTGTCCTTTAACAGGTCTGAAAAGAAGACATTAAAACAAGTAGGCAATGTCTCCGAGTGTGTCCCAGGTCTTCATGCTCTGGCCCTTCTCCTTCTCCACCTCAGCCTCTTTCCTTTGGCTACTCCCAGTCTCATCTTTACTCCTGGCCCCCTCCCTGGAAAACCTACCCATGGAAACTTGCTCCCTTTGTAACCATACACCATGATTATGCGATTAACTTCACTCTTTCTCTCAGCTCAACAAAGATATAGATCATCTCCACCACTGCATCCCAACAACTGGTGTGTGGTGTATTTCTGAGCCAGAAATGACTCAAACAAGACATCCACCTGTATCCATATAGAGTAGTCAACAAGCCAGCCACAGAACAGCACTGAACTATGCCTTCATTGGTACAAATGTGGTTGCCACAGCCTGGCAGCCAAGCTTCTAGCGAAGAGGAAAAGCTACGTGCTCAAAAACAACCAACACACAATGTCAGAAAATAAAGACTTCTGTTGGATGCCCTTGTCTCATGCCTGTAATCCTAGCTATTCAGGAGGCTGAGATCTGAGGATCACAGTTTGAAGCCAGCCCAGATAGAAAAGTCCTCTTGGGACTCTTATCTTCAATAAACTACTCAGAAAAAGCTGCAAGTGGTGCTGTGGCTCAAATGGTAGAGTGCTCGCCTTAATCGCAAAGAGGCTCAGGGACAGCACCCAGGCCTTAAGTTCAAGCCCCAGGACTGGCAAAAAGAAAAAAGTAAGGACTTGATGAGAAATTCTGAATTAGCGATAGCCTTACTCTAGCAATTCAACAAATATTGAGCACTTACTATGTGCCAGGCAATGTCATCAGCCCTGAGATGTGGCAGAGGACAACACATTGCAGAATGGGCTGGAGGCGATCACTGTGGTATCACTGCAGTTAGTGTAAGATGTACAGGTGCTTTAGGTTAACTCCTGACCATGGATCTCTGATCCTATTTTTGCCATCTTAAAATTCCTTAATTGTGAGTTTTATCTAGATTTCCAGAATTTCACTCTGGAAGCTGGGACTAACAACTCCGTAATACATAACTGTATAGCTCAGTGCTACCAATATGCTATCTGGTTTGAAGCAAAAAATATTAACAGACTGTGACAAACGCAAGATAGGCTGGCTTGCAGCTCCCTTACATACATAGGGGGAACAATGTGGCCTGCAGTGAGCACACTGTAAGAGGCAGAGTCCAGGATGTCACCACAAGTGACATACTGACATGACAACAGGTATTTCTGTGTGATTGAAGCTTCCTGCTATCATTATATTTGGAAAAAGAAAAATAAGTGAAAATAAAAATTCTAATGATACAAGAGTCACAATAGAAAATTAACTATGAACTAACAGTATTAACTTTATCTAAAGCAAGCCGTCAGGTTCCTCACTCAACACCCTGTGTATGTGACATGTTCCACACAGCTCTTCCAGGAGCTAGCCCTCACTGATGGGAATGCAGGCAGCACTTGGCTGCAGGATCACTGTCAGAGCTCTTCTACTGACTACCCAGTATTTTACTCCTAATAAACACCTTGCAAAGTCCCACCTGGGTTTCATGGTTCCAGACGCACACGCTGCCATTGTAGAGACTCGCCAACATCCATGGCTCTGTGGGGTGCAAGTCCACACTCTTCACGCGGTCTGATCTAGCAGTCAGCTTTCTCTTGATATCAAGGCGGAGAGGCTGTGGAGATGACAAAAAGAAAACTAAATTGCTGAGTCAAACAAATCATGTCAGTGAGAGCTCAACTACAAACCCTGTATTAAGAGGCCCATAAACTCTGTGTGTGTGTGTGTGTGTGTGCGCGCGCGTGCGCGTGCGCATGTGTGATTTTTTTGGTAGTACCAGTACAGGAGTTTGAACTCAGGACCTCACATTTTTGCCCATTAGCTTTTGGATTCTACCACTTAGGACCACCTCCGGCCTCTCCACTTCAGACTTTTTGCTCGTTTGCTGGAGTGTCTTTGCCCACCCCAGCAGACTTCAAACCTCAATCCTCAGATCTCGGGCTCTTGAGGAGCTAGGATTACAGCTAGATTACCAACTCTGTGGTAAACTTGCTGTGTACCAAAAACAAGCAGCAAACATCCATCTCCACACCAATGGGAGTCAGAAAAATGATCATTTCTGAAAGAACAGGACTTTCTTCTATACTACATTTAACTTCTGGAAGTAACAGAGTCTTAAAAGATACACTTCAGAATCTGAAACCACATCAATGAACTGTTTATACTGTTAAAGTCCAGTGCTTCTAGTGGGTCTTTCACTCATGCCTGGTTTGAATTGGTTCACAGGCATGGAAGTTTTGCAAATGTTGACATATTGTTAAACTGTATTAAAAGATCACATTTGTTAATATCACTACCCTGCCCACTTCTACTTTCATTAGAAATCCATCAAATTCAAGAATAGAAGTTTTTTAAAATTAGACTATTCACTTGAAAGCTCTAACTTTATCAGCAACAAATACCATAAGGGGAACTAGTAAACTTCTTTCAGTTTTAGAATATGTCTACCCAACAATCCAGTCTCAGCACCCTTGTCATTGTTTCTAGTGAGTCTTGCAACAACCTTTTTCTTAACCATCACACTTTCTTGTTTCACCAATGCCTAGTGAAAAGTATGGCAGCCAAAAATATAGTATTGACAGGCTGAGGCAGGAGGATTTCAAGTTCAAAGCTAGTCTGAGCTCCATAGTAAGTCTGAGGCCAGCTTGGACTCTATCTACTTGTATTTATGAGGCCACCCTAGAATCACTGACCCTCCCTCCCTCCCTATCTCTCTCCCCCTCCTCTTTCCCCTTCCTCCTCCTCCTCTCTGGCCTGCATTCTCTCTCTTAACTGCCTACCAGGCCAGCTTTATATGTATCTTTTTCTTTTCCCAGTATGATTTGGTGCTCAGATGAGCAGGTTTTCCTTCTATACCACCAGTCAGTATTAAAAAGAAAGAAAGAGGGGCTGGGAAGCACTTGCCTTGCATGCTCAAGGCCCTGTGTTCGATTCCTCAGCACCACATAAGCAAAAAGAAAAAAAGCCAGAAGTGGCGCTGTGGCTCAAGTGGTAGAGCGCTAGCTTTGAGCTGAAGAGCTGAGGGACAGTGCCCAGGCCCAGAGTTCAGGCCCCATGACTGGACCCAAAAAAATAAAAAATAAAAATAAAAATAAAAAAATAAAAAGAAAGAAAAAAAACAGCTGACATAGCATCTGTCTGTGTGTGCTAGTCCTGGGGCTTGAACTCAGGTCCTGGGTGCTATGTGTGAGCTTTTTTGCTCAAGGCTAGCATTTTACCACTTGAGCACAGCTCCAATTGAAGCCTTTTGGTGGTTAATTAGAGAGAAGAGTCTCATGGACTTTCCTGCCTGGGCTAACTTTGCACCACGATCTTCAGATCTCAGTCTCTTGGGTAGCTAGGGTAACAGCTACTGTGAGCCACTGTGCCCGGCTGACTGAATCTTACTATGAGAAAAATGCTTCAATCTGTGGACCTCTTACAAGAGTAACAGGGACTTCTAAGGGGTTGCAGATCATACTTAAGTGCCTGTAGTTTATAAACTATTAAACAAATTTTACTTTCTAAATCGTAACTGTGCCAAAGTCACAGGTGTATTAGAGAATATTACTCATTGTTATTCATGAAACCCTAGAATTATATATTAGCCATAATATTAAATTGGCTATTCACAGAAGAGCAGTTTTAGCAAAAATTATTAGTAAATGCTAGCTAGGTACCTAGTGCATGACTGATGAGGGTTAGTCCATGTAGGTCTCTGGAGTCAAAGGAAATGTCTGTACTATTTTAATGAGTAACTTACAAAAACCTACTGAACAATTTTAAACAAAAATATTTTCTAGACATGAAACTGTAAGCTTAAAACAGCCCTTTTCAACCAGATTCCCTTTCTGCATACCAAAATAGAAAATAGCTTATCTTCTCAGTTCTCTCCAGGATGCCATTCTAGAAGAAACATTAATTTGTTGCAGATCATGATGCCCTAGGGCCAACAGGTTTAAATGTCTTGCAGGCAAGGTGAAAAAAGACCAACTTATAATACATTTCCAGCTGGGCGCTGGTGGCTCATGCCTGTAATCCTAGCTACTCAAGAGACTGAGATCTGAGGATTATGGTTCAAAGCCAGCCAGGGCCAAAAAAAAAAAAAAAAAAAAGGTCCAATGAGACTCTTATCTCCAATTAACCACTCAAAACCCAGAAGTGGCCCTATGGCTCCACGTGATAAGAGCACTAGCCTTGAGCAAAAGAACTCACGGACAGTGCCCAGGCCCTGAATTCAAACCCATGACCCACAAATAAAATAAAAATAAATTCCCTTCAACAGGTCTTAAACACAAGCTAACAGCTTCTCTGGCAAGTCTAAGATCCTATCCTGTCCCCATGCTATGCCCTTCCTGGAATGCAGCAGAAATGGAAGGTCACTTTTCCATGTAAAGTGAAGACCTATCTAGCAGAGATGAACACTATCCTGAGCAGATCACCTCACAGGCATCCTGCTTGTCTATCAATTCTGGGTCACTGGTACTTCAGACTTGCTTTTAACTTCTCTACACACCTCCGTCACCGTTAGCCACAACTTTTACCTTACAGGGTTTGAGTTCTCTAACTCTTCAATTGCCTCAAAAATGTTCCCACTGTTTTATCTTTCTGTCCTAAAACTTCCTAGCTGTCATGTAGCCATTGCTAATTGAAGGACAGTAGAACCTTTTACTTTAAACATCCCAGACTTTTTCCCCCCTACTAATGAATATCACAAATTTTAACTTTTTTTTTCTGGTCTCCTCCAAGCCAATAAACACCAAGTGTCTGTGCCAGGAACCTTGGTGGCAGCCACTACATAATACTTTTCCTTCATTAACCATGTAAACCATGCATTTTGTGAAAAGCAATGTTGATTGCTGGGTAAAAATGATGCTTCAGAAAGTGGACCAGGAACTCCGAACAACCCCAACATACTTCCACAGGTCCTCAAAGCACACACCCCAGTTATTTAAAAAAAAAAATTAAAGAAGTCCATTAATACATCTACATGTAGAAAACTAAAACTGGATCCTTGTTTGTCACCATGCACCAATATCAATTCAAAGTGGATCAATGTCAGACCTGAAACTTTGAAACTATTTCAAAGTGGAATGGGAGAAACCATAGAACTTATAAGCATAGGCAGGAACTCTTTGAAAAAAAGTGTCCCAGGGGCACAGCATATAGCAGAGAGACATGATAAATGGGATTGCATCAAAATAAATTCTGCACAGCAAAGGATCCAGTTGCCAAACTAGAAAGACAGCCAACAGAGGCTGGGAAGGTGGCTCAGTAGTAAAGTGCTTGCCTTGCATGCCTGAGGCCCTGGGTTCCATTCCTCAGCACCACATAAGCAAAAAGAAAAAAGCCGGAAGTGGCGCTGTGGCTCAAGTGGTAGAGTGCTAGCCTTGAGCTGAAGAGCTGAGGGACGGCACTCAGGCCCAGAGTTCAAGCCCCACGACCGACAAAAAAATAAAAATAAATAAATTAACACCCCCACAAAACTAATAAACCAATCAATAAATAAGCAAAGAAGCTAAAGAGAGACTTCTCAGAAAAATGGTAATGCCTGAGGAAATGCTCAATATCCCTGCCCATTAAAAAAAAAAAGCACATCAAAACAACTGAGATTCCATTTCACCCCAGATAAACTGGCCAACACAGTGAATTCAAATAACAACAAATGCTAGTGGGGATGTAAGCAATTGGAGGTTCCTCAAAAAACTAAACATAGAACTTCCCTATGACCTGTCTGTACCACTCCTGGGCATGTACCCAAACAATACAAGTCAGGATACGGTAAAGCAATTTGTATATCCATGTTTATTGCTGCACTATTCACAACTTAAGGACACAGCCTAGGTGCCCTACAATAGATGAGTGGATCAAGAAAATGTGGCACATATACACATTTTTACTAATCCATCAGAAAGAACACTAAGGCATTTGCAGGGAAACGGATGGACCTATAACAAATCAAGTTACATAAAGTCAGCCAAGCTCAGAGAAACAAACTGTTGTTTCCTCTCATATGTTGAAGCTAGATCTAAAATACAAGTGGACATGATAACTTATACAGACTCTACACATTCACAAAAATTGACCAAAGGAGGATGCCCCAAGGAAGAAACCCAAAGGTGTAACTCCTTTAAACATTTAATATAATATTAATCAGCTGGGCGCCGGTGGCTCACACCTGTAATTCTAGCTACTCAGGAGGCTGAGATCTGAGGATTGAGGTTCAAAGCCAGCCCAAGCAGGTAAGACTGTGAGACTCTTATCTCCAAGAGACCACCAGAAAACCGAAGTGGTGCCGTGGCTCAAGTGGTAGAGCACTAGCCTTGAGCTGAAGAGCCTAGGGACAGTGCCCAGGCCCAGAGTTCAAGCCCCATTTTGACCACAAAAAAAAAATTATCAAAATGAATTCCAGGAAATGGAAACATGAGTTTTTGTTGGTGGTGGATGGGGGTGGGGCAAAAGGGGGGCACAGAAAGAAGGGTGAACAAATGCAGTAATAGTATTCAGTATACACGATGTGGAAAACGACCTATGCAACTGTGGACAGGGACAGGAGGGAGAAACTAGGGGGAAACAAAGCGGTGACACTGCCAAAAAAAGAAATGTACTCGTGACCTGACATGAAATGGAAACCCCTCTGTGCACCACCAAATAACCATGCAACTACAATTCTAACCATGCAACTACAATTCAAAAAAACGTCCATCACTTCAGGGAAGCACTTCTGCTCTAATACTCCCTTCAACATTTCAGTGATGACTTTTTTGTACTTTGGGACAAAGGATTAGGTGTTCACTTAATCAACTCCCAATGTCTCCTTCCATCTTGCAAAAGATGGACCATTCACAGCTTAAATGCTCCTTGCGCCAACAGTTCTCTGGTTATCCTAAGGGAATATCCCTAACGCTCACCAGTTTCCCCCAGGGATCAACTTTGGTTTCATCCCAGCTCCCCTACAAGTAGCTTTGTACAAATGTTAATGTTTTAACTGGAAAATAAGACATTTCTAATTTTTATTCCTTGTAGCCTCAAGCTCCAAACCTTTGTTCATGCTTCAGAACAAGTATAAAAAAAGGGAGAAAAAAATATTCAAATATCAAAATTCTGACTTCAGCTGGGCAGAATCCTAGGTATCCCGGAAGATGAGGTCTGAGAGGATCCTGCTTCCAGGCCTGCCCTGCCAAAACGTTAGTGAGACACCCCCCCCCCTCCTCCCCACTCAACCGATAAAAGCTGGGTGTAGTGATTCAAGCTCACACAGGAGAAGTGCTTCCAGGCTCATTTGGGCAAAAAGCAAGACCCTATTTGAAAACTGACCCAAGTGAAAAGGGCTGGTGGTTTGGCTCAAGAGGTGGTGCACCTGGGGGTGAAAAGCAACACTCAATTTGAAAATTGACCCAAGTAAAAAGACTGGTGTGGTGTGGTAGTGGTGGAGCGCCTGCTCTCAGTACCACTACATACATACACGTACACAGATTCCCATAACGGTTTCGGTAAAGGTAACCTTACCGTCTTGCATTTTCTCCTTTATTACAAACTTAACGCTCTGCTGCAAAGGTATTTGGGGTTGGGGGTGGGAGGGCAAGGCGCATGTTTGAGAGCGAGAGTATTATTTCATAAAAACGTGCTGCCAAGCCGGGCGCCGGTGGCTCCCGCCTGTCATCCTAGCTACTCGGGAGGCTGAGGTCTGAGGATCCGGGTTCAAAGCCAGCCCGGGCATCAAAGTCCATGAGACTCTGATCTCCAATGAACCACCAGAAAGCCGGAAGTGGTGCTGTGGCTCAAGTGCTAGAGTGCTCGCCTTGAGCTGAAGAGCTGAGGGACAGCGCCCAGGCCCAGAGTTCAAGCCCCACGACTGACAACAACAACAACAATTCCGCTTTGCAGTCAGTCCGTCCGTCCGTCAGTCCGTCCACCCACCATCGCTCGACATGTCAAAGAACCAGCCCCACCTGGAGGGCCCGACCTGAGTCGCCGTTTTAAGGGTAGAATTCGAGGTTTTACTGCGCCCACCACCCAAAAATAAAAAGCTGCCTCGGGGCTTGTTTTCGGCGTCTCGACCTTCCCGCCCACCACCGACCCCCAGGCCCGTGCGGCCGCGGGCGAGGGGGGCCGGGGACCCCCCTCCCCCGACTTCCACAGCCAGGGCCGCCAGGCCGGGCCGCGCCCGGCGTCCTCCGGGCCTCACCGCCACGTCAGGCCGCGGTCAGCCCTGCAGGCCCGCGGAGCCGGCCGGGGCCGCGCGGGGCTCCGCCGAGGCCTCCACCTACCATGGCGGCGTGGGTCCGAGCCCCGGCGCCCTCGCTGGCTCCCGGCGACGCAGCTTCCTCAGAGACCCGCCGGCGGCGCTGACCAGGCGCCCACACTGACGTGGAACTTCCGGGAGTCCGTTCTCGCGATAGTCTGAGGGCTCCCGCGAGATTAAAGACGAAGCGCCTGCGCACACCTCGGGTTCCCCGCCCCTGTCGTTTCACCCCGCCCCCGTCGCCTAGGCAACGCGGCCTGGGAGGACGCCGGAAGCCGGCCTGGAGTAGCTCGGCGGTTTGCTGACCGAGTCCGCCAGGACGCTGCGGGGAATGAAAGGACGGAGGAACGGCGAGGAAGCGCCGAGAATTGCTGGGCTGTGGCCTGGGAAGAGGCGCGGAGTGGGGAGGGGGTGCCCCGTGGGGTCCCTGCGAGCCCGGGCGGAGGGTGGGGGGGGACACGTACATCTTCACCTCACACCCGAATGGATGAGGAAACGAAGGCTCCATGAAGAGTCCTAAGTGGTGGCGTGGGGATTTGAACTCAGCTCCGTGGGGTGCAAGCCGGTGCTCCTGGCACCGCGTTAGCGCATCCCTTTGGATTGCAGAAGGGCCTGGGACGCGCCGGCTGCCAAGTGCCGCCGCCTGACGCCCTGCGCATGCTCTGCGCCCTCTTTTTTATTTATTTATTCGGTCGTGGGGCTCGAACTCTGTCCCTCAGCTCTTCAGCTCAAGGCTAGCGCTCTACCACTTGAGCCACAGCGCCACTTCTGGGCTTTTCTGCTTCTTGGGTGCTGAGGAATCGAACCCAGGGCCTCATGCATGCAAGGCAAGCGCTCTACCCTTTTATCTTACTTTTAAAAAGCCCAAAACAACAGCAGCAAAAAGCTTGGCTACGTAGGAACCTGCGCTTCTGACCCGAGAGAGGCCTTGCTTTCTGTGTGTCGTGTATGTAGATGGATTTTTAACCAAGTAATTTGTTTTTTTAGAGAAGCCTTCTAAGCTGGGCGTCAGTGGCTCAGGCCCATAATCCTAACTACTCAGGAGGCTGAGGTCTAAGGAGCTCGGTTTGAGACTTTTCTCCAGTTAACCACCAAAAAGCCAGAAGTGGAGCTGTGTGGCTCAAGTGGTAGAGTGCTAGTCTTGAGCACATGAGCTCACAGGCAGCACCCAGCCCCTGAGTTGTTCAAGTATCAGGAAGGCACACACAAACACCTACCAGGAGCCTTCGAATTTGATGTCTTGGTGTGGGCCTCAGTTTTCCTTCACCTTAAAAATAATCATACTGGATAAGATCCATTTTTTACAATCCTGTGTCTCAGCAATGTCACATTCAGCTAGAAGAGTGGGCCTAGAATTGGGCTTGAATGCAGAGAGCAAGATTTATGTAACTGGGACTAATAATTGCACACTTCCCCTATTCTTTATTTTTGTTTGTCTCACACTTAGCATTTATATATATATATATATATATATATATATATATATTATATATTTGGATCAATGTGTTTTGATTGAACATGTCAGTTTCAGAGTACAATGCTTCTTGACCATTGTAACTTTTTTTGTCATTCTCATCTCTCTCAATCTCACCTGTCCTTCTGAAGACACCTGACACCATTTTCACCTACATACATTGAATATTATACCTGCACCCGCCCACTCTTCTTCTCTCCATTTTTCTGCCTTCTCTCCCTTTCGCCTGAGGACCACAGGACTTGGTTGAAATCGTTTGAACTGTGAACTATACCCAACTTGCCTAAAGAATGGAGCATCCCTTAATTTTGTTTCCCCAATTCTCTTGCAATTGAGTATTGGGGGATTTGATACAGCCATAAAAAGTTACAAAAAAGTAATACAAAGTAAAATGATACACTGTGTCTATACTTAAGGTACCCAAGGATTTGTGAGCTGGGGTTGGTAAAGAGCTTACCTCCTAGGTGTCCTTCTGACTTTTACTCTCTTCAGATTTTCCACTGCGATTAACCAGCATTCAGTTCTGCAGTTCTGGATGATAAATTAATAATTTAAGCCACTAAATACTGAATTTGTACTATATAACAAGTACTAGGTAGATGCTTCCTTAAGCTAATACTTAACACCCTGGCCTCAGATAGTGGCTGAAAAAAAGTTTTAAAGAAAATTCTCAAAATATTAACTAATACATAAACCAACATTTAATAAATATACGTATAGCCCTCCATGTTCAACCAAGGGCTTAAAATGAAATCTCTTGTTTACTCTTTGGCTTTAGAAGAGACTCAAAGGTTAGGAAAATAGCTCTGGGGAAGAAAAGAAATAAGGACAAAGCTTAGCAAATTGGTAAAGGGTTTCCCAAGAGGCTGAGTGCAATTGATCAACAGATCTTAAAATCTTAGCTGGTCAATTTCTAGGCTAGCTGTGTCTCAGGCCTGCCTTTTTTCTGCTGCTTAGAATATCTGGTGGGGAATTCTGGCAGCAGTGCCTCTCAGTGCCGTATAAGCACCTTCCTCTCCCCACTACTACCTCCCCATTCATATAGAGGAAAGGAAAGGAATTCTTTGAGGTAATGTCTAGTACTGTTTGCATGGCTCAAATGGTAGCAAGTGCAAGGCCCTGAATTCAAATTCCAGTACAGCCATAGAAAGAGAAATTATTAAAGAACTGGAAGCTGAAAATATAAACCATTTTCACCAGAAAGTGAATGAAGGCAATGAAGAGTCCAATGTGGATATGAGACATGACACTGCAGGTAGGTTGACTGTTCTTGCATTTAGGGAGTGGTTGACATTTGATTTCTTTCTCTCTTTTTGCCAGTCCTGGGATTTGAACTTAGGGCCTGGGCACTGTCTCTGAGCCTCTTTTGTGCTCAAGGCTAATGCTCTACCACTTGAGCCACAACACCACTGCTGGCTTTTTTGGAGTAGTTTATTAGAGATAAGAGTGTCATGGGCTTTTCTGCCTGAGATTGGTTTTGCACCACGATCCTCAGATCTGAACCTCTTGAGTAGCTAGGATGACTGGCGTGAGCCAGCAGGGCCCGGGGACATTGATTCCTTTATGAATAATCAAAGTGGGTGTCAACCATGAAATAGAGCTTGTCCATACGGGTGGGAAATACCCAAGCACACACCAAGAGGGGAATGGCAGAAAGTTCCAGTTCTCCAGAAACCAAGGAGTAATTCTAGCATGCCTGGACCAGAGAATAAAGGAGAGATGGATAAGGTACCCTTCTCAAGGTCTGTGATGGTCAGTTTCGGGAGGCTGGACTTCACCCTGAAGGCTCCCGGGAACCAGGGAAGAATGCAAAGGCTCTGCAAGTGCTCCTCGTGCTTCACTGCCATTTAATGCCACATGTCAGTCGCTTTCCGGTTAGAAGAAAGATTCTCAGCTGGATTCCTGCATTAGGCCTACAGAAGTAAATGTTTTGACCACATGATTACATACCAGCTTATCAGTTAAGAGAACTGAAAAAAACCACTGAGCGCCCTTTCGAGGATGGAGATGTGATGTGCTTGCTGAATTGCCTAACACTCAAAGACAGACCTGACCTTGAGAAGCTGGTGTGTGTATGTGTGTGTGTGTGTGTGTGTGTGTATGTACTGGGACTTGAACTCAGTACCTAGGCACTTTCCTTTAGTTATTTTTTCCTACTCAAGGCTGGTGCTGTACCACTTGAGTCACACCTCCACATGCCACTTCTGTGTTTTTACTGATTAACTGGAGAAAATAATCTCTAGGATTGGGAGAAAATGAAGGAAGAGGGGACACTGTTCAAAAAGAAATATACATACCTATGACCTGACTTATGTAACTGTAACCCCTCCGTACATCACCTGTACAATAAAATTTAATTTTAAAAAAAGAGTCTCTCAGGGGCTGGGAAGGTGGCTCAGTGGTAGAGCGCTTGCCTTGCATGCCTGAAGCCCTGGGTTCAATTCCTCAGCACCACATAAGAAAAAAGAAAAAGCCAGAAGTGGCGTTGTGGCTCAGGTGGTAGAGTGCTCGCCTTGAGCTGAAGAGCTGAGGGACAGCACCCAGGTCCAGAGTTCAAGCCCCAAGACTGGACCCCCCCAAAAAAAGAGTCTCTCAGATTTGTCTGCTTGGGCTGGCTTTGAAGTAGGATCCTCCAGTCTCAGCCTTCTGAGGAGCTAGGGATAAAAGACATGAACTGCCGGGATAGGGTAGCTAGGGATAAAAGGCATGAACCTCAGGACAGGAGTCCTGAGGCATAAGGACCAGGAAGAGAGGCCCAGAGTGCAGGGGACACAGAAGTCCGCAGTGAGCCTCTGCTCAACCAAGCTTTTGCTTTCTTGTCAGAGAACAGATTTCATCAACTTTTCCAAAACCACAATAAGTTTAGAGTAATTTTGTTTCCTTAAGAATTACGTCCTTGCAAGTGACAGCAGTGCATAAAAATAAATGAATAATGATAAATCGCCTGGATATCTGGCATTGAGCAGTTACCTTTAAATTAGTTGGGAAAAAATTTAATATAAAAGTGAAATATCTGGACTGACAAGGCGCTGCGCGGTATAATCGCCAGCCAATTGCCGCATTCCACTTTTTCTTTTAGAGAATTTGTCAGCTCAAGTTGATCTAAGGACATGACTGGGTTTGAATTCAAATGTAGACCAATCCCTCCCGCCTCCCCACCAAGGTTTAGAAATGAGAACTCTGTAGGCTCTGAACTCGTGACTTGGCTTTTCTCTAAGCCAGGCCTGATTAAGCTTTATGTCTGCGGATCTTTTCATTTAATATCATGGTGGCTGTAGGTTATATTTGGAAGTGGTTTTCTTCAGAAAGAGATTGTTTCTTTGGTCATGTTTTGGTGTACCCTTCCAAAAGAATGAATTTGAATATAATATAGCCTGGACAAGATTCATAAATGAAGTGAAATGTAGCATTCATTTCATGTTTGTGTATGTGTGTGTGTCTGTGTGTGAGTGCCAATACTGGTACTTGAACTCAGGGTTTTGCCTTCTCACTTGACTTTTCCACTCAAAGCTGGAGCCACAGCTCCCCTTCAGACATCTGTGGCATCAACCGTGTTTACCCCAGGAAATAATAAGGACTTTTTTTTCCTTGTCAGTCATGAAGGTTGAACTCAGGGCCTACACACTGTCCTTGAACTCTTTTTCTCAAGGCTAGCACT